CCACCCCGCGGCCCACCTGCTCAGGGCCTGGAAGGCCAGCGGCGGCGCCGCGCCGCGCACGTAGAGCCCCGCGTGCTTCACCAGCTGCGCCAGCGGCCGGAACAGGCGCACGCGGTGCAGGACCGCCTCCAGGTCGGCGTAGAGGCGGCGGCGGAAGCGCAGCCGCGAGTCGTAGAGCGCCTTGTGCCTGCCCGGCTCCGCCCCGGGGGCCCTGCAAGACAGGGCCGGGCGGCCACACTGCGCTGCGGCTCTGGCCGCCAGCGAGCTGTCGGTTTTGCTTTATTTTGGGGGTTTTGCTGATTTGACAACATGGTGGGGGGGCGGGGTGGAGCTCAGTGGTAGAGCGCATTTTTAGCATGCACAAGGTCCTGGGTTCAAGCCCCAGCACTTCTATTAAAAAAAATAAAATTTAAAAAATGAAAGAATGCATTCAAACTTAAATTGTTATCAATTTAAAATAAACTATTGTAAGTTGTTACACGTTAGTCTCCTGGTAACATGAAGCAAAAACCTATAGTAGTAGACAAAAAAAGATAAAAAGAAAGGAATCAAAGTTTACCACTAAAGAAAGTGACCAAACCAAAAAGAAAGAGAGCAAGAAAAGAAGGAACAGAGGAACCACGAAACTGGCAGAAAATAATTAACAAAACGGCAATAATTACATACTTACCAACAACTACTTTAAATGTAAATGGACTAAATACTGCAATTAAGAGACACAGACTGGCTGAAGTAATTAAAAAAACAAGACCCATCTATATGCTGCCTACGAGACTTACTTCAGACATAAGGACGCACAAAGACCGAACATTCCACGCAGATGGAAACCAAAAGAAAGCTGGGTGGGGTAGCTATACTTTGTATCAGACAAAACAGACTTCATAGCAAAGACTATAATAAAGAGACAAAGAAGGGCATTACGTAATTATAAAAAGATCAGTCCCACAAGAACATTTGTAAATACTTATGCATCCAACATAAGAGGACCTAAATATACAAAGCAAATAATAAGAGACCTAAAGGGAGAAGTAGACAGCAATGCAATAACAGTGGGAGACTTTAACACCCCACTTGTATCAGTGGGTTAATCATCCAAACAGAAAATCAGGAAGACAGTGGCCTTAAATGACACATTAGACCAGACGAACTTAACAGGTACATACAGACATTCCATCCAAAAGAGACAGAATACATACTCTTCTCAAGTGAACATGGAGCATTCTCCAGGATATATCCAGGCCACAAAATAAGTCAATAAATTTAAGAAGACTGATACCATATCGAGCATCTTTTCTAACCACAGTGGTATGAAAGTAGAAATAAATTACAAGAAGAAAACTGGAAAATTCACTAATATGTGGAGATTAAACAACATGCTATTCAACAACCAATGGGTCAAAGGAGAAATCAGAAGAGAAATTTAAAAAAAAAACAAAACTTGGGACAAATGAAAACACAACATACCAAAACTTACGGGATGCAGTGAAAGCAGTTTTAAGAAGGAAGGTCGCAGCAATAAATGCCTACCTCAGGAAACAAACATCTCAAGCAACTTAACTTCACACCACAAGGAACTAGAAAAAGAATAAACGATGCCCAAAATCAGTAAAAGAAAGGAAACACCAAAGATCAGAACAGAAATAGAGACTAAAAGGACAATAGAAAAGATCAATGAAACCAAGAGCTGCTTCCTTGAAAAGAGACACAAAATTGGCAAACCTTAAGCCAGACCCACCAAGAAAGAGAAGGCCTCAAATAAACAAATTCAGAAATGAAAAAGATATTACAATTGATACCACAGAAATACAAAGATCATAAGAGGCTACTATGAACAATTATGCACCACCAAATTGGACAACCTAGAAGAAAAGGATAAATTCCTAGAAACAAGCAACCTACCACGGCTGCATCATGAACAGAAAATCCGAATAGACTGATCACTAGTAAGGAGATTCGATCAATAATCAAAAACCTTCCAACAAACACAAGTCGAAAACCAGACAGCTTCACTGCTGAATTCTACCAAACATTCAAAGAAGAATTAACACGAATTCTCCTCAAACTCTTCCCAAAAACAGAAAAGGAGGAGACATTTCCAAACTCATTTTACGAGGCAAACATTACCAGACAAGGACACAAGAAGAAAATTAAGTTACAGCTCAATGTCCCTGATGAACACAGATTTTTAAAAATCTCTAACAAAACACCAGCAAGCCAAACTCAACATACATTGAAAGGGTCATATACCATGACTGAGTGGGAGTTTTCCAGGTGTGCAAGGACAGTTCAACCTCCACAAATAAACCAGTGTGATGCACCGTGTGTTAACAAGGTGAAGGATAAAAACCGTATCATCATCTCAGTTGATGCAGATAAAGCACTGGACAAAATTCAAATCCATTTATGATTTTTAAAGACTCTTAACTAGTGGGTATAAAAGAAACGTATCTCCACATAATAAGACAAGCTCACAGCTGACATCATAACCAACAGTGAGACGCTGAGAGAGTTCCTCTAAGGTTAGATGCAGACAAGGATGCCCACTCACCACTCTGATTGAACACAGCATTGGAAATCCTGGACCACGTCTTACACATGCGCAAAAATCAACTCAATGGATTAAAGACTTGAACGTAAGACTTGAAACCATAATGCTCTTAGAAGAAAACACAGGGTGGTAAGCTCCTTGACACTGGTCTAGGCAATCAGTTTTTGGATCTGATAGCAAAAGCAAAGGTCACAAAAGCAAAAATAAACAAGTGGGACATCAATCTAAAAAG